CAGATGCAAGTCTTGCATCTGAAGAAGTGAGGTTCTTACCCACGAAAGCTTATGCTCCCAGTACTTCTGTTAGTCTCAAAGGTGCCACAGGACCCTCTGTTGCTTTTTACAGATTCAGACTAACACGGCTACCCCTCTGACACTTGCTATCTGGTCAGCCTACAGCCAAGGATCCCCATTCCTCAGTTCTTTCATGCAACAGGATGATGATCACCTTCAGGATACAGTGTGCAATCAGCCTAAACAGTGGTAAGAAAGTTACAGACCCTTTCCTGTAATGTGAGTAGGGCCCCAAACTGGGGCCTGTGACAAAAAATAGACACTTTTTAGAAGTCTCTTATAAAGCATAGGCAAGTAGCCTTGCTGACCTCTGTCAATGGAAGAATGCTGCAAAATATACAAAAGACCTCTTGGCTCTTTCCTACAGATACGTTAGGCTGCAATAATCAATTACTATCTAAACATATATGGATGTTGGCTTTTAAGTTTTATTTACATGTAAAGAATAATAAATATTTTAAATTGCTTAGAGAAAAGGAACAGGATAATGGCATCTGGAATGTAAACATAGCTATATCCCAGTATGTATTTGTATTTTGAGAAACTAAGCCAAGTTGCAGACTGGATTTATTACTAGTTGATATTAACATATTAGTTTAAGTTTGTTATTGTTACTATGAAAAGCATAGCTAAACTGGGCACATGGTCAGCTAACCAGAGCTTAGTGTTTTCGTACACTATATAAACCTTTTCTTTAGAATACCTAGCAAAGAAGAGAGAAAAATCTCCATCTAATTTGAATATTGTCTATCATGAATAATAACTAGGAAAGTACACACTGATCTTGACACCAGTAAAAGTTATAAATCAAAGTTAATTTGGGGTGGTCAGAGGAGACATTGAAAGTCCAAAAGAAATAAAGGTGCAAATCCTCCAGTCCCTGCTCAGTCACATTTCCCTTAGAAGTTAGTGAGAATTTTGACTGAGTGAATACAGGAGGATTTGGCCTAATGTTAACTAGACAAAGGTGTTCTTTTTTCTGTCCATGGTCATAGCAGTGATGAGGTTGGAGCTAGCAACATTTGATTTGTCTTAAAGTTCCTTCAGTGTTAAGAAGCAATTAGGGAGAAAAACCTAAAGTTTCAGATGAGAGGGGATGATAAAAAAGAAAGCACAAATATATTTTGGTTTTAGTAAGATTTGCAACACAGAGGAAAACTTCCGAATAAGATCAAATGTTTGGTGGTCATTCATTTCTTACAAAACTGACAAATACATATCTGAATGCAGCACAATTAGTACATTCTTATCAAGGCTTTCTTTGGCACTGATCAGAGTAATCTTTCTAAACACCTATCTAAATACATTAATAAATTTAGCATCACAACACACCTGTGAAGTACGGGTGTATTATTATCTCCATTTTACGAATAAGGAACTGAGGCACAGAGAGATTAAAGGCTCAATCCTGTAAAGTTCTGAGCACTGCTTCTGATCCAACCAAAGCACTTAAGTACATGAATACTCCCATATGTGTAACTTTAAGCACACAAAGCCAATAGGGCTATCTGTGCTCCTCAGACTAGATGATCACAATGATCCTTTCTGGCCTTGGAATCTATGATTCTAAATGTTTTGCTGGATTGGAGTTAAAATTTTCAGTACCTTGCAGGATGAAGCTCCTAAGTGTCTTGCTTAAGGACACAGAGGAAGTCTGTGGCAGAGGGGCTTTCGACACCTATACAACAGGTAAACCCATCAGGTACAGGCCTTGCTGGGGATACAGTAGCATCACTACCTATGGTCTGCCTCCTCTAGGCCCACTGGCTCACTCCCAGCAGGATTAGCTCACCTCATATTCCTCACTGCCTTTGGCTAAAATTATGGCTACCTCCTGTGTGTGTAGGCTACTGTGAAATATGCCACCTTCTCCTCCCCACCCTTAGTCCTCCCCAGCATACCTATCATCATATTGTGGCCCTTAATCTTCAAAGTGAGGTATTATTATTTACTAAATTCTTCAGAACTGTACCTGCCCTTGAACTGGACTAGGCATAAGGGAACATTTCTTAAAGTATAGGCAGTTGTTTCATCCATATGTACCACCTGTTAGCATGGTACATGTTGTTAGCGCTTGAACTTAGGTCAAGTGATGAATATAATGGGAAAATATAATTGGTGAAGGGAGAAATTTTATTTTAAAAGACAGTAGGCAAAGACAGATCTGACCCACCTCAAGGAACCAGCTTGCAACACCGTCCTTCAGAAATGTAAACTGTTTCTTAGTGTCTGAAATTTGCTTTCTGATTCCACTTCCATGTCTCTGTACTCTGATTGCTTTAAGATTAGAGATAGACAATGATAATAAAAAAAAAAACCGCCGGCTGAGATCTCAACTGTGCAGTCCATTCCATTTTTTAACATTTGAATTAAAACATAGCAAATAAGAACCCCTTCTCTTGAACCCCAGGGGGAGAGACTGAGTAGTGATTTAGATATGACTGGTTCCCTCTAGTGTTGTATGGTAAAAGTGTGGTTTTGTCTTCCTTGTAGAAATTAATCTTTCCAAATGCTTCTTGCTTGTATCATTTTTAATCCTATGTAGACTGTATGGTAAAAATAAAAGGTATCCTGATTGTTTGGCATTTTGAAGTTATTTACCATGATTACATGAACAGACTGTTTATGCTGGTACCAAGTTTTGTTTTGTTTATAAGATAAACTAATTCCAAAAATTCCTTAAATGTGCTTCTTTCTCACAGTAAAGCATAGTAACTGCTTTGTTGAACTGTGGAGAACCGGTCCTACTTCATGACAGAAACTGTGTATCATCCACTGCTTTCTACTAACCTGTGAATTGCATATGTGCTGTGTGTGTATGAGAGATTGATATAGAATACAGGTATATATCCATACAATATACCCCCAAACACATACACTTTGCAATATTTTTGCTCATTTTAGCTGACCATTTCCATTTTTGTCTCTAGGGTTTTCTGTTTAATGGATCTAATGGATTTGGAATAAATTTGAAACAGGTTTTACATTAAATTTTTGGAGTTTTTTTAATCCTTTGCAAAAAGTACAATCCTCAGTTTATTGTTCCTTATCAGATGGCTTGGGCATTAACTCAAATCCAAGAGACTGGGAGTTAAAATCCTATTACTAAATAATTAGAACAATACCAAAAATATTCCTGCTGAGGTCTCTAAACTAAAGGATACCGGCAGCTCCTGTCTCTGTCTTGTCTCCTTCCACTCAGCAGAAAAGCCACCAACCTTCCCACTTCTGTTCCCTCCCCTCTCTGAGACTTTCCCACAACTTAGACTTGGATGGAGAGAGCTGTTAGAAGGAAGAGGAAGGCCCGGCAAGCGTACTCCAGCCCTGCTTCTGTTAATCCTCAATGCTCCTGTCACAGTACGGCATGCTAGACAATACTGGAATAGAAACTAAATGCTATTTCCTGATAATGGTGTGATGGAGTAGAGTATTTAGTTTTCATGTTTTGTTCGTTTGTTTTTTTCTGTGCTGCATTCCAAGAGACGATTATAAATTATGGCTCTACTAGAAGATCCCAGAAGCAGTGGGAATGGTGTTTGATGTCAAACATAGGGCAAAATTCTATTCTCCTGTCCACAGTACAGATCCTTCCTAAGTGCATATTTTTCACTTGGTATCTCTATGCTGGTGAAAATCAGTGAGAGTTTTGCTGAGAAATCAAGCACAGAGAAGTGTGGATCTGAGGAGCAGAATATTGCCCTTAGATAGCACATTACTGGTGTGGCATGACTAGGTGATAAATATCATCGTTGCCGCACATAGGCACATTGAATGTGTGTTGAGGAGGGGGAGGGGGAAAGGAATTTTCATACAATCTGTACTTATTTTCAGAAATCCATTTTGTACCCCCCATGTCATTATAAAGTTAGGACTAAAATGTTGATTGGCCATTGTCATTGCCATTTTATTGCTTTTAGTTTTGTAGGGATAATAGAGTGGTGTTTTAGGTAATTAAAATACAGGATGGTCTCAGCAATGTTTTTTAATTGCTTCACCTTTTACCTCTACGTTGAAATTGTCTTTGCTGAAATTTTGAGAGATAAGCCAGTCCAGTGTATCTCTTATAAATGTATTAAACATTAAGCAAACAGTTATAAAACAAACATATGTTTAAATGAAATATGTCATTAGCTAATTTAACTTATCGTTTTCCTAACTTGCTTAACTTAATTTACAGTAATACAGTGCAATAATCAAATCAAGGTTATAAATGAAGTATAATCAGTAAGTCACTGGTTCAGTTTATTTGGCTCACCGAGTATTACAATTAGTGATTGTATTAATTATAACGAAAAAACTCTCAGTGTTTTACAGGAAGGTTAAGGGGAGAAGCTGTTCCCTTCAAGTTAAGCCATTCAGCTAAAAATCAAGTCCTTGCCTTGGTTTTAAGTAAATACAGCCCTTAGAATCATTTCATGGGCCATATTTACACTACAAAATTATGTCAACCTAACTTACATTGGCATACAGCCACAGCAGTTATTAAATTGCTTGTGTGTATGCAACTCAGCTCATTGTGTCAGTGGTGTATGTCTTCACCAGGAGTGCTAGTCTCGATTGTATTGTCACTATGAGACAGCTCCTGAAAGCCAGAAACAGTCCACATAAGCAACACAAGGTCTACACTGACACTGCGTCAACCTAATTACATGGCCCATGACTCTACACTGCTCGGAGTGGTGTTACTAAATCAGGGTAGAGAGGCTCTTACATTGGCAGGACCCAAATTTAAGTGAAGAAACTTCCACAGCAAGGTCAACACAAGGCAGCTTACATCGATCTAACCATCTATTGTAGACCAGGCCTCCTTTAGCTGCTCTCTCCTATTAAACTTCACTGTTTCCAGAAACTACATCACATTGTTGTTTATTTAATCTATTTTCCCTCCCCACTTTAACACAATGGCTGCATCTTTCTGCCAGTCTTGCACAGATACAAAATGTTTTCTAGAATCCCACACATAGCAGTTTCAGAATGACACTTATTTAATCCACAGTTCTCTCACTAACAGGTTTAGGGAGAAATTTTTTGCAGCCCTGAGCAACATAGCTAGGTCCAAGTGTAGACTAGGCCTTAGTTTTGGAACTAAGGTTTTGTCTACACTAGCACTTTTGTTGGTAAAAACACCCCCTGACCAACATGTTTCACCGACAAATGTGCCAGTGTGGACAGCGCTATGTTGGCGGGAGATGGTCTCTTGCCGACATAGCTACCGCCGCTTGTTGGGAGTGCTTTAATTATGCTGGCAGGAGAGCTCTCTCCCACCGGCACAGAGCGGCTACACAGGAGACATTAAAGCAGGGCAGCTGTAGCAGTACAACTGCGACACTGTAAGGTCTGTAATGTAGACATAGCCTAGGTGATATTTACCTGTATCTTTATAAATGATAAAATGAAACTTGAAGCTTTTTGACGTGGGGGTGGGGGAATAGCCTGGTCTTTTCTCTCTCAGATGTAGATTTCAGGCTTGGCTTAGCTGAGGGTCAGAATCTTTCACCTCTTCGTCCTTGGATGGCCAGTCCAGGAAATTGAGCAGGATACAATTTTGGGTGTCTTATTGATGTGAAGTATCAGAGGGGTAGCCGTGTTAGTCTGAATCTGTAAAAAGCAACAGAGGGTCCTGTGGCACCTTTGAGACTAACAGAAGTACTGGGAACATAAGCTTTCGTGGGTAAGAACCTCACTTCTTCAGATGCAAGACTTCTTCTTGCATCTGAAGAAGTGAGGTTCTTACCCACGAAAGCTTATGCTACCAGTACTTCTGTTAGTCTCAAAGGTGCCACAGGACCCTCTGTTGCTTATTGATGTGAGAGAGCCTCCACTTCCTTCCGCATGGTTAGAGTGCTTTGTAGAGATCAGTGTCCCCTTCCTCCACCTCAGGGGGACACCCCAATATCTTCAAAGGCCAATTAGCTGTTACAGCCTGGTAGCCATAAGTTACTTGGTCTTGAAGATTCCAGGTTAGAGTGTACATGTCTTACTGCAGTTCGTTCGTAACTGCTAACAGATGTCTCTTGAAAATAGGACACAAGAAGAGCCATATGATAAGGAGCTGGTAGGCAGACTTCTGCTTAGGCCCACAACATAGTGTTTAATTATATTTAATGACTTGTCAACATATACACATCCACTCATTCCACATGTACTCAGGACAATGAAATGACACTGGGAAAGTAATGTTGAGAGGTGGAGGCAGAGTCTAGGGCAAGTGGATGACCTTACTCTAATAACCGTTTGCCTACAAGCTAGAAATCTGCTTCGGACATCTAGTAATGCTAACTTTCATTAAACAGTTACTCAGGCCTGAATTCAAATATGACCTATGTTCTGTCCAGTTTTCTTTTACACATTTTTTCACTGTGGAATTTCAAAAAATGATGAAAACAGGATATGAGAATTCAAGCTGTTAACTCGAGCATCTGATTGTGAGGGGAGGTGGTTTCAATCTATTCTGGATCTTGTCATGCTCCTTTATTGGGCTCCCATGAAGTCATATTTTCCTTTATCTTAGGTATTTTTATGGCCTTCATCACCATGAGCACCTCACAATCTGTAATGTATTTATCCTCATAATGCCCGTGAGGTAACAAAGTATCATCATCCCCATTTTACAGATGGGGAACTGAGGCACAGACAGAGTGAGAGACTTGCTCAGGAAGGAACTGAACCTAAGTCCCAGGCTAGTTCCCTAACCACTGAGAAATCCTTCCTCTCTTTAAAATCTTTGCTTTTATTTTATTTATACAGGATGCACTGAAGGCCCAATTGATCTGGTGTTCGTGATTGATGGATCAAAAAGTCTTGGAGAGGATAATTTTGAAGTTGTAAAGGAATTTGTCTCTGGAATCTTGGATTCTCTTGAGATTTCTCCCAAAGCTGCTCGAGTTGGTTTGCTGCAGTATTCCTCTCAAGTTCGCACAGAGTTCACATTAAGACAATTCAGCACAGCCAAAGACATGAAAAAAGCAGTATCCCAAATGAAATACATGGGGAAAGGCTCCATGACTGGACTTGCCTTGAAACAAATGTTTGAGAGAAGCTTTACTGAAGCAGAAGGGGCAAGGCCATTTTCAGCAGAAGTGCCCAGGGTGTCTATAGTGTTTACAGATGGACGAGCCCAAGATGAAGTCTCTGAGTGGGCCAGCAAAGCAAAGCAGAATGGTAATCTGGTATTTCTTTGTCACTGTTTCTTTAAGGATGTTTATATTATTTTTTAAAATAAACAAATAATTTCAGCCTATATTAATGAAGAGACAAGATTAATGTGCATGTAGCACTGCCCTCTGCTGGAGAGAATTATATTTTCCCAAATGTTTGGTTCGCTTTCTAGGGCAGTGGTTTTCAAACTGTGGGTCGTGACCCAGTACAGGGTCACAGATTGTAAGGTACTGGGTCACGGCGGCTCTGGTCAGCACCGCCAACCAGGCCATTAAAAGTCCCATCGGCGGTGCTGCCTGGCTAAGGCAGGCTAGTCCCTACCTGTTCTGACACTGCGCTGCGCCCTGGAAGCGGCCAGCAGCAGGTCCGACTCCTAGGCAGGGGGGCCATGAGGCTCCGTGCACTGTCCCCACCCTGAGCATCAGCTCTGCACTCCCATTGGCCAGGAACCGGCCAATGGCAGCCGGGGGTGGTGGTGCCTGCGGGCAAGAGCCGCATGGAGCTGCTTGCGTGCCTCTGCCCAGAAGCTAGACCTGCTGCTGGCCGCTTCTGGGGCGCAGCACAGTCCACGGTGCCAGGACAGGCAGGAAGCCTGCCTTAGCACCCCTGCTGCGTGGCAGACCGGGAGCCGCTTGAGGTAAGCCCACGCCCCAACCCCATGCCCCAACCCTGAGCCCCCCAAACCCGGAACCCCTTCCTGAACCCCAAACCCCTCATCCCCAGCCCCAGCCCAGAGCCCTGATCCCCTCCCATACCCCAACCCTCTGCCCCAGCCCTGAGCCCCTCCCATACCCCAAATCCCTCATCCGCAGCTCCGTTGGGTCACGGGCATCAACAATTTTCTTCAACTGGGTCGCCAGAAAAAAAGTTTGAAAACCACTGGTCTAGGGGCTTTGCCACAAAGCACTGCATTACAACTACTATCTCAGGAAGTAATGAATAAGTACCTCTGAGAGAGTCTATGTACTGAAGAACCAAATCAGCACAAGGCAGTTGCATTGTATAGCTTAACAAATTTATTTGAGCATAAGCTTTCGTGGGCTACAGCCCACTTCTTCAGATGCTCAAATTTGTTAGTCTCTAAGGTGCCACAAGTACTCCTGTTCTTTTTGTGGCTACAGACTAACATGGCTGCTACTCTGAAACCTGTCATTGTATAGCTTGAATGCTGAGCTGTGCCCTGCATGTTTCCACTAAAGGATCGCAGACATTAGGAGCTTTATTAAATATTCCATTTAACACATAATATTAATATAAAACACCGCACTCAAAATATCAGATATATGTTGTTCCAGAGCCTTTGCTTTATGCTATAATTTTTAAAAATACAGTATAGACTTGGAAGCAATTATATGTTGCTATGATTGGGTATCCACCCTGCACAAGACCAGAAAGGATTAAGGTGACTAGGTGATCCAGTTAACTGCCCAGGCTGCACCTGGAGGAGGAGCCAATGAACAGGATTAATTAGATGAGGCTCAGCTGGATGGGGATAGGAAGGGCCGGTATAAAACCCAGGAGCTGAGAACAGCTGGGGGTTGCAGGGAAGTAGTCTTCAGTTACTCCCTGGGAGGAGGAGGAAGTTGTGCATCTGGCAAACCCAGAGATGGGGGGAAAGCCAGAATCATAGGATTGGAAGGGACCTCAAGAAGTCATCTAGTCCAGTCCCCTGCCCTCGTGGCAGGACTAAGTATTATCTAGACAATCCCTGACCGGTGTTTGTCTAACCTGCTCTTCAAAATCTCAATGATGGAGATTCCACAACCTCCCTATGCAGTTTATTCCAGTGCTTAACCACCCTGACAGTTAGGAAGTTTTTCCTAATGTCCAACCTAAACCTCCCTTGCTGCAATTTAAGCCCATTGCTTCTTGTCCTATCCTCAGAGGTTAAGAACAATTTTTCTCCCTCCACCTTGTAACACCTTTTATGTACTTGAAAACTGTTATCATGTCTCCCCCTCAGTTTTCTCTTTTTCAGACTAAACAAACCAGGTAGGGAAAGGCTTAGGGAAAAGGCAGTGAGATCCTTGGCTGCTGACTAGAGGGTCCCTGAGCTGGAACCTAGAATAGAGGGGGGGCCTGGGTTGCCTTACCAGCCAGTAGGGAAGTGGCACAGACCAGAGGGCCAAGTCACAAAGAGGAAGCTCCAGCTCCTGCAGTGCGGGGCGGCATGGTGAGAGAGGATGACGGGTGAAGAGACTGCCAGAGGTGGGTGCAGCACCTGGAAGCATAGGCGCCAACTCGGTGGGTGCTCCGGGGCTGGAGCACCCATGGGGAAAAATTGGTGGGTGCTCTGCACCCACGGGCAGCTCTCCACCCCGCCCCAGCTCACCTCCACCTCCGCTCTGCCTCCTCCCCTGAGCGCACCGCGTCCCTACTTCTCCCTCTAGCTCCCAGTGCTTCCTGCCGCAAAACAGCTGTTTCATGGCGGCAAGTGCTGGGAGGGAGGGGGAATGCTGTGCACTCGGGAAAGAGGTGGTACCGGGGCGGGGATTTGGGGAAGGGATCCAATAGGGGCAGGGAGGGGTGGAGTTGGGGTGGAGACATTGGGGAAGGGCTTGGAATGGGGCAGGGCAGGGGCGGCAGGGGG